TATATATATATATATTGGTGCATCATTAAAAGGCTTGTAGTTTGTCCATTCAGAATATTCTGTCCACAATATTTTTTAATCATATGAGGAAACATTTTACTAAAATGTCTTAGTCACTATTAAAATAAAAGAGCCCCTTGAGTTTTACATGAATGTTCCTTTTGCTACCTAAACAACAGCCACGACATGGAACCATTGTGTTTATTTGCATAATTCAAAATTATCTCAGCTCTTCAGAATGTAGATGTATATTTAAAAGCATGATTCAATCTGATTTGATTGCCACCGCATTGTGTTCAAAGCAATTACCATTCATTTGGCTTTTGAGGCTGTTGAATGAATTTTCCACATGAGATGCCTTAATTTCTACATGTTGTATTGCCGTAAAGTAGGTATTGGCAAACTGCCTCAAGCACCAGCAAAGAGCTGTAATTTCTGTTTCTATGTATAACAATGGAATTGAGTAGCCCACAGTGGAAATATTAAAATTGATTTTCTTGGTTTTTGCTGATTCACAATGCTGCTATACTATACAAAGGTGTCATGATTTACAGATTTTATAGTTTGTTGTTATGCCTCTTCTCACAAGTAGAAATGTTTCTGTATTTGGAAATATTGGTGAGGCCTGGCTCAAATACGGACATATTAAAGGAAGGCTTTGGACATATTTGGCTAAGTGATTAAAAGCACCAGTTATGTATATGATGTTATAATGTATGCTTGTTTTTTTGAAAAACATTTGTTTAATTTTGACATCACATATCAAATATGACCAGACGGAGCATTAAGGGACCTACAGCATAACTTACATTTAGAGAAGGTATGCACCTTTAGGATGTTAAAGACATTTGCAGTTCACTTCCTTGGATATTTGTAAGGCTCTCCCTATACAAATATTAGATTCTAGAAAAACACGTGCTGCTTAGATCTAATACTTTCCATGTGTGTACTGTTTTTTGTATCAGTGCTTTGTCCATAGTGACCTATATACAGTATATTACACTGCCTGAACTTCCAAACTGATAGAGAATATGGTATTTATGAAGTAACAGATAGAAATGGATAGGCACAAATACACTAACCCAGTGTTAGAAGGAAATCACAAGCATGTACTGAACAGAGGACTAAGGATTTTTTTTCCCCTAGTACATTTTATTGTTTTCTTTGTATGGCAAAATATTTAATACAAACTGTGTGCAAAACGTAATTGCAAAGTTATACTGGACTGAGGACATTAAGACTGTAATATAAAATGTAATAATAAAATAATTACACTGAAGTCACTGAAGAGCTTGGTAAAAATTGCCGAAGGTCATGTCATAAGTATAAAACATTTTTAAAGCTGAAATTTTTATACTATTCACTTTACCTTCTCACATCACTGCCAACTTAATGCCATCCCAAAAAGTAATATTATGAACTGGCATCCGTAAATAGCACATAACATATTTTTTTAAACTGCAAGTATTTGAACATGTACCCTAATGACTAATAGCACTCCTGACATATAGGTTTTGAAGTCTTATGCTATGGTAATACTGTTTTCTTTGAGTGAATAAGTAAAGAAATAAGTCAGAGCATGTGAGTTGGAATGTAGGATTTTTGAATGAAGTGACAACTCCATGTAAAAAAGGTAAGCAAAAAATCCATCTGGTTAATTTGATTAGCAAGTGAAAGGAGCAGGGTTATTTTAGGCATTGCCTTACCTAATTTTTATATTTTTCCTTGGGTATTAGAGGACCTGAATTCAGTACTGAGCTGGTGTTTGAAGAGGTTGTCCATTTGTTTAAGGTCAACTCCAGTCAAAACTAGTTGTTGGAAAGACAATTAGGAAGAATAAATATTTTTTTATTGCTGATGACCCAACCTAGGGTGCAATCACCTCATTTCTGTCCCTGTGACAGTAGGGCAAAACATGAGGGGAGCAATTTTCACTTGAAATGCACAGACAGTAAAGACAAAGGGTTGACCTTGTTTTACGAATAAACGTGTTTTGTTGCATTCTTTGTCCTCAAGAGAGGTCTTAATTCTCATTGGAGAGATTTCCCCCTACTTCCTATCAGGACAGAAAATTCAAGGGAAATTACAGTCCCCAAAAATCTGACAGTGATGCTATCTTTCCTGACTCTGTCAGTTGGCTGGAGTTGAACTTTAAATCCACCTTCCATGTAATATGTTGTACTCCTATCCATAAACTAGGGAACACATTTTGTAAACACCAACTGCTTGTAACTGAAAATCCTCATTGTGTGTGTGTGTATATA